GCCCCTCGGAAAGTAATTAGGAGTTTCAATTAATCCTGTCTAATTTCTGGACATCTTGCTTCTCCGTCCTTGAGCGTCCGATGAATTCCCTCGGACCTCCTACCCCGAATTAGTCGGCGCCCAATCGCAGATCCGCGACTGACCCTGTCCGAGGCAATGCAAGTCCAATTAAAAAACAAAAAAAACAAACTGAAAATGCAAACTTTGTTCTTTGTTGGTTCTTGTGTAGGTGCCGCTGAATTGTGGAATTTCCATAATGTCTCCACAGGGTGCTTAAAAAGAAGCTTTTAAGTTCCCAACGCCTCTATAGCAATCAATTAAAAGAGTCTTTTCACAGAATTTGATGTTGCCCTCGGGATCAGAATGGCAATACGAGTCATTGAAAAGCAGGCCCTTTCCACTGACCCAATCCCACTCGCCGACTGCGCTTTGCATCCATTTGCTTGTTTAACACATTTGTAGTCGCATGAAAACTAAAGTATTTGCACCGCCCGGAACCATGTTTGCACACTGTCAGTGTTTATCATGTTTATGTCAGGAACATGGCTGTCAATGAGGAATATAGAAAATGAAAAAAAAAGATGCCCAATGTTTGGGGTTGCTTTAAACTAAAAAGGGACAAAAAAAAAAAAATAAAGTTTTGTGTCATTGTTGAAAAGTGATGCTGGGGGAGCTTGAAAAGAAAATTTCTTCAAACCAAATCTTAATCAAGAGGATAAAGATTTGGTCGTCACAGCCTTAAATGTCATCAAATAATTTTCCAATGATAATATGACAACGGGGCATTTCATGGATAATTCAATGATTCATTTTCTTGTTCTCAAATTTAAAGTACCACCAAAAAAATAAAAATAAATAAAAAAATAAAAAATAAGTACCACCATCAGGCCCATCATTACAGTAGTGTAGTGGGTCTAAACGTTATTGAAAATAATATCACTGCAAGTCACTGGAACAAAGTTTGAACATTCACACTGAGCTTGAATATCGAAAAACATATTGCTCGGGTACTGCTAGAGTAAGCAATGGCACGTGTACCACGCTTGAAAAATCACTTGACACCACTTGTTCGCCACAATAGAAGATTATTTGATGCTATGATCTGTGCTTTGTCTTTTTTTGTCTTTTTTTTTGTGGTGCGAGGCAAAAATATAGATACTAGCCAGCTTCGGATATATGACAACATTTCAAGCTTTGGTGCCACACTCCTTCACAAAGTTTTGTAGAAATATATTTTATTGCTACTCATCACCATGTAGCTTTTGTACGAATCCCCACAAAACCGGCCGATCAAACATGATTCCTTCATGACGAAAACGAAACGGCCCGCGCCACTTTATTTTGCCACCGGTGGTTCTCCTGAAAGCTCACGTGTGGACATACAATGCGCGAGTGTCCAAAGCTCCGTTGTACAACCCAGAATAAATCCTCGTTTCTCATTGCTGCCCTTGCAGTGCTCTTTGCTCGCACAAGCAGTCACCTGCACGCCGAGGCAACAAAAGGCCTGCTTGAGGATTAGGGTGACATCATCTTAGCGCTGGTCTGCGAGGCAAAGGGGGCGGGGGGAGGTGGGGGGGGGCGCATGGCGCTGAATGGGGTTGAACCTGCTATGCCGCACGGAGATAACATTTGTCACTGGTGGCCTATTCATAGATTAGTGGACTGTCGCCTTTTCATCATATGAAATGGCTTTGGCACCGCCGCATGTTTATTTTACCCCCCAAAAAAGGGTCGCCGCCAAGGACGAGGGGGAGCATCTTATTCTTTTCTTCGAGAGTGCCTTCGTGTGTCGCCTGGCCGCCTTTGATGCCTCTGAGTGTGTGGCGGCTGTCAACGCGGAGGATTACCGACACATCCGCCGCTGCTTAGTGGCGCAAGGCGATCCCGCGGGGGAAGAAGCACAATGACCGCAGCTGCGCGATGGGACCGGACCTTCTTTTGCCGATTTTTGCACGACACGACGTGGCCTGTAACCAATCAACCGCAGGTTCAAGTGCCCCAACTGGCATCATGAAATGAACAGAGACCATGAGGAGCCCCCATATTGGTGCACGCCCGAAGGAGACAAGCTTTAAGTCATGCATTGTGGTGCACATGCCCCGACTCTCATGATATGGTCACATATACTGTATTGTCTGGGAGGACTGAAAGGTCTAAGGTTTGATTTCCCCTGGGCCTCAAATGTATCTGGGCACCTCTCACCTTGCATTGTGACAAGAGAACCCAAGGTTGGAGTCCCCCCCCTGCCCCCCCCAGCCGACGTAGCGACATGCCCCTCTCTATTGTGACCGAAAGACTCCATGTCTGAGTTCTGTAACTGGCAGAGAGACATTCAGATTCCTTGTTGTGACCAAAAGTAGCGAGTCGGGTAGATAGGCAAGGGCGGCTCCACCTTGACCCGGCCGGAACTGTGGAACAAAGTGCCCGATTTTGGAGTCCGTCATTTGGCAGAGAGATATGGACGGCCCACATTGCAACCAAAAGACCTCAGGTTCGAGGCTTTTAATCGCAGAGGGATGCAGCCCAGGTATGAGTTGCCCAACTGGAAAGGGTAGATAAGGGATGTCCGAGTCCGGTCCTCGAGAGCCCCTATCCAGCCAGTTTTAGATGTCAGGATCATTATCAGGCTTCTGGAAAGTTTGCTGCGGTAGCTGATACGCAAGGGCAGCCCATACCTTTTTACCCAGCCTTGTAACCATAGGACACAATTTTTGAATCCTTCATTTGTCACTGAGACAAATCTGGATGACCTGAATTGTGACCAAAAGACAACCAGGTTGGAGTTCTCAAACTGGCATAGGAATGTAGACCTGAATGTACTGGGAACGAAGGACCCCATCTTGAAATTCCACTAAATGGGGATGGGAAACATTCCATCTTGTGTCCAAGAGACAGCAAGTTTATGCCCTCTTGCACCGTCGTCTTGACGAACCCAACTGGTCTACACATATGATCCAAAAGACAAATCTTAGGTTTGACTTTTCTCACTTCCAAAGGCAAAAAGACAAGACTCGACTCTACATTGTGACTAAACCATCCCACAACCCCCAAGTGGCCTTCACTGGTAACATCAGATTTCAACCAGCACCCTTGACTAAATTCGACAGCAACAAAGTGCCCGTTTTTGACACAATGCGATCGGTTTGGCTGTGATTCGGGGAAAGCTCGGTGGGGTTAATCATCACGCAAAGCGTGACATTCCTGAAGCGGCAAACTGCTCCGTCCGTGGTGGCAAAGGCCCCTAATTGACTTTCTATTAGCGCTGCTTTCTTGTCTGACACATGGGACAATCTGACCGGACTGCCAGTCGCCGCCGCGTAACGACGTGTTAAAAGGTCATGATCGTTTCTCGTATTGGTGCGGGACGGCTTGATGAAAGGCGACGTGTGTGGAGCAACGTTAGCATAGAACCAGTACACCTTGTGTCTTTGAATAGCTTTAAAATACTGAAAAAATATTTGTGAAATGTATGTAGAATATTCTTGAACCCTTTTAGGGACAGCGGGTACTACAGTGGACAGTTGATCAGGTTAAAGTTGTACATGAAAGAATTTAATCTCGTGTCTTTTAGCTTGAAGCTACTACGCGTAGCTCTTTACCAGCTAGCGTGTTACCAAAATATAGATCCTTGCTCTAAATGGTGACATTTTGTGGACATCCACCCCCCCCCCCCCCCCCCCGCAAAAAGCCACGAGTGAGCGGTTCTTTACCCATTTGAAATTTCATTCGGGACAGAAGACTCAAAGCGGTTTCAGCCCGGCCGCCTTAAACGCGAGCACGCTTGACGGCGTCCGTAATCATCCCGAACGGCCGCCACATTTCGCATTTATCGAAAACGTTTGCATCTCCCCCAAAAAAAGGGGGCGCGGCGCCTAAATGAGATGTGACATTTGATTTGCGTGTGGCCAAGGAAGCAAATAATAAATAACAAACAATATGGGGCCGTCGTTCAATTGTCTGTTGCCTGTTTGACACGTTGCCACCTGACTGGTTAGCGCGTGTCCAAAAAGAGACCCACACTGGCGAAAACACACAGCGAATCACACGCGACAGGGACTTCTCGCCCGATAATTGATCCGCATTAAGGCTACGAGGGCGCGGCCTGCAGTGGCTGGGAGACGGCGACGCATCATCAGGCAGCAGCGGCGGGACTATTTTCTCGCAGGGAAGATTACATCTTCAATTTTACCTGGGGTGTGGAGACCTCAGCGGGGCCCCGGCAGATATCTCGCTTATAAGTGGGGTCTTACTTATTGCTCTTTCAAGTACTGGATCTATCCATTCGCTCTAATTAAATTGCGCTTTTTTTTTTTTTTAATCTGATTCTTCTAATCCAGGGTGGAGTGTGTTGGGACTTGGATGATGTGATTTGAAAGGGAATACTCTTGATTCTGTGAAGCGGCATTATCTCTTTCAGCTCCACGATTGAAATAAATTTGAAAATGAGGTTTGTGTACTTAAGCACCTTGACCCAAGATCTTTGGTGTTCCGAGCAGAGCGCCGAGGTTGTCAGAGAAAGTCCCCAAATCCGTAATCGGTGTTTGAGATCTTTTTTTTTTTTTTTTTAACTGAAATGGAATTTTTAGAGAGGGAGACTTAACCTGTGTCCACAGCACATTTTATTGATTTTCTTTTTTTTTTTTTTCCCGAGCAAACATTGCCTTATCTTGCTTCATGTGCGCCAGATTAAAAAGAAAAAGAGAGAGAAGAAAAATTGTAATTCCAAGTTTTCACTGAGAGTCATCAGGGTAAATAAAATTTGAAAAAGGCAAATAACATAAATAAAATCTGTGAGCTTGCTATCTAAGAGTCCACTTGGCTATAAATGAAGACCCCTCGTATTGAACCCGTCACCATACCAGCACCAGTCAAGCACAACACAAGCAGTTTGCTCTTAAAGCTCCAGTTTGGGACACAGATGTGATAATGTTTGTCCCAGCCAACTATCTTGAGACGAGCTTCTTACCTACCTGAGTTATTACCATCATGATCACACTTACCACAGTCGAGCCCCTTTTTAACCCCACATGGCTCCAACTCCCCCAAACTCGGGCTGAGTGATTCTGAAAAATAATTGAATTGCAACTTTTACCCTCAATATTGTGATTGTGATTTCATGTGTGATCTTTTTTTTTTCCAAGGTACACTCCGCATGTATTTTTTAAAATTCTACTACATTGCAAAATGGATTTGAATTTAATTGTGAAGCCGCAGGGCTCTCCCTTAGAGATAAGGTGAGAAGCTCGGTCATCCGAGAGGGGCCCGGAGTCGAGCCGCTTCTCCTCCACGCCGAGAGGAGCCAGATGAGGTGGCTCGGGCATCTGATTAGGATGCCTCCCGGTGAGGTGTTCCAGGCATTTCCCACCGGCAGGAGGCCCCGGAGGACGACCCAGGACATGCTGGAGAGACTATGTCTACCAGTTGGCCTGGGAACGCCTTTGGATTCCCCGGGAAGCGCTGGAAGAAGTGGCTCGGGAGAGGGAAGTCTGGGCTTCCCTGCTAAAGCTGCTGCCCCCGCGACCCGACTCTGGATGAGCGATAGAAAATGGACGGATGGACGACCAAAGATTTTATTTTGGTGCCGTGACAACTGCCAACACACCCAAACCAACAAAGTCCTTCGACTAATGTGAACGGTGGAGAAAACGAAAAGCCATGGGAGGAATTGTGCCTCCGCCACGCCAGTGGGGGCCGGTGGGGGGGGGAGGCTGAAACAATGAATATATTTTAGGCAATTACCTCCGAGAGCAGAGTTCCATAATTTAGGTCTGCCGAGATAAAAGTAATCCACAACAGAAACTAAAGAGCTGATCTCATAATGGATATTTTAATCAAGTCCCTGGAAAAAGAAAGGAGAGCCTATTAAATTCCAATTTTAATTTATGAATAAAGAAGTGATTTTGCAGCGGCGGCGGCGGCGACAATTACCGAAAGCTTTCTGTAAGATCATGTACCGGATTACACATTAAACTTAAATAACTTTGTAAGTGTGCTGCTTATTCTTATCATTATTATTATTATTTTTAACATATATATATTCTCTTATTGAAAAAAAAAAAAAAAAGAATATGTTGACCCTTTGGAAATGGACTGGAGGAAAGAACGTCGCTCCCTCTCTTATCAATATTTCATCGAGACTTAAGGGACTCAATAAGCTATAAGATGAAGTGTTGTCACTATGGTAACAACACACCCGGAATATTTACATCTGTCCCTCATGGGAGGGTTACCATCCCCGACAGGAATATCACAAAGAACCAATCGTCCGGTGCACCTTATTAGTGTCCCCGATGTGGAATCTTCGCCTTTTGCAAAGTGTAACCGCGTTCAGACATCAAATGAACAATTTATTCCTTCATTTGCACGGCTGTGATCGAATCCGTTTGGGTGTATTACAGCACAAACGGGCCATCTAAGTAAACAAACAAAGCGGCGGGGTGAGAAGCACATAGGAACCCCCCCCTGTGGGTTGTCTCTCCATAGTGACAGGTTGTGATCACAGACGTCCCAGTGGTAAGCTCTCTGGCGGCGTTTGGACACCTTTATATTTCCAAGGGCAAACTCGAAAGACTTTCAAGGTGCATTTGCTAGCTTATTTCTCGCACCTTGCAACTGTTTGAAATGACATATTTCCAGACCGTATTGAAAAACAAATGTTGCAATATGCATGCCAGACACTTACTTCAGCAGTTTGGCTCATAGTGGACCATTCTTCAAAAAAGGAGGCTACAAGCTGGCCCTTTGCCACTCCTAGTTGGAGTTGTTGTCACACTGAACAGAAAACAAACCAAAAAAAAAAAAAAAATTTCACAACGTGTATTTAAAACAACAGCTATGTCTTATGGAAAAAGCCCACTTAGCTTCATGCTAACAAACAATACAAAGCGCAGTTGAAATGCTAACGTTTAGCAGCGATCGTCAGGATTTCAGAAGTAACAGATATTTCAACACAAACGGTGGAGCAACACCTATAGCCAGCGAATATAACAATCCTCACAGGCAGTTGTTCTTTCTCCGCTATGAAAAATGAAAAATATGACAGCGAATTACGGTCATTGCCAGTGCTTAAAAGCTCCACTTTACAGTAAAAGTCAACGAGTATAAAAGAATGGATGGAATTTTCACTCACGGAGGTAGCACTTCACCACCAACTACTGTCCACAACACATTGTTAGTGCGGCAGATTTGTTAATGTGGTGCATGCAGCTGACAATTCCTATCTTGCCATGTCACTTTTATCAGAAATTTGATATCTTTCTCCATCAAACTATATGAAATGGTATGGCCGCGTCGTCTGCTAAACTGATAACTCCAATCTTTTGTTTTGGAGTCAGTCAAGCCGTGAGACAGCACTATTTACACAGTATATAAATAATGCAGATGGATGCTATTCTCGTATATGGTGCCTGCAACGGACAGATTCTCCAAAATCCCAAAATGTCGACGTATTTCTACATTTCTCCATCCAAGCAGGCACCAATTTCTGTCAAATGGCTTGTTGTCATTGCAGGCCCTTTAGTCACCAATCGAGCACTTTTGCTAGCACCTACGGGAACGCTGCTTTATGTTCTGTGCTACCTGCCGCGAAGCTGACAGATTTACGAGGTGGGAAAGGAAAAAGAATACGCGATGCTGTTGACCTCCAACGCATGTATCCGAGGGAAACAAAAAAGCGGTAACAAAGGCTTTAGAGAGCTGGGGGGTTCCGGGGGGGGGGGGGGGGGGGGGGGGGGGGGTGAGGAAGAGGAGGATGTTTGCGTGTCGATGCGAGGCCAAGAGGGACTCGAAGGATGACAGAACGGAAAGTATTGAGGTTACCCCGACGGCCAGCGAATTCGGGGCGATTTAAACGAGCTCATCTTTGGAAGGCGGTCGCGTATAGCCCCCCCCCAATCCTCCTTTTTTCCGGAGACAATAGCCACATTAACGTCCTGTTCTCTTGGCCGAGCCCGAGCCATATCCCGCCGTGATTGGGTCGGGATGGGAAGAACCTCATTGCAGTCGCATCGCCATCCCATCACATCACATTGGCATATGCGGCTCACTGCGCGTCCACTTTTGGGCCAAATTGAAGAGGCTGCGCCCGAGCAAAATAAATAGACGCTTGAATAGCAATGGCCCCCGCCGCTGAACCTTCCATCAGTGGGAATCTAACAGCCGCGCCGCTTTGGAGAATTTCAGTTTAGCTTCCGATTACAGCATGTCCCGGCATTTTATTCCCTACATCTCTATGCTTCATAGCCTTCAAACACTTCCCGGTAACTGCCTATTATCCGACAGTTCCACTCCACTGACCCTGCCAATAAAACTTTTCATATCCTTATAAATGAACTCAATTGCCGCGTTCTAAACATTGACACCGCACTAACAGATCATCTCCACACCTCGGAATTGGCTAAATTCCTTTTTCCTTATGAATATATAGGAGGAGATTAGAGCCATGATAGCTTTTCAGATTGCCGCACGACGGCGGAATTAGTTTAGCGAGCGTTTACAGACCAAATTGGAGCCATTAAATAGCGGATTGAATTGATGGCACATTCATTGTCTCCCCAACAGTATCGCTGTAAAATCAATTAGCCGTCACTTTCTCCCCCCCGCCCCCCAATTCTCAATAAGGTCTGATTGTCGGCTGCGGGTGAATAAAGAAGACCCTGACAGCCCCTCGGAGCAGAACACGGCGTGAAAACAAATCAGCCGGGCGGCTGCGAGGGGGACGGAAAAAAGTGAGCTGTAATTGTGCGGGGGGGGGGAGAAAAAAAAGAAAATTTAACTGTCATCAAAAGGGCATTGTGCATAGGATGGGCCATTAGTTCAAAAATGTAGCACATTGCAGAGATGTTGCGCGCATGCAAATCTTTTCATGAAACAATCTCTCATGGCCCGAATGAGAAGATGCTTATTGAATCTTTATTATTGTTGCAGAAATGTTCATTCGCGGCCGCCATTGTCCTCCTCCGTGTCCGCCCGTTCTATCGACTATTTGGTCGGATTTTCAGATCAAATGCAAAAATACACCGAGCAAAAAGTATGCGCGCCATTTCCAAGAAAGTTTGGGAAGTTTGGCATCGCTGGAGGAAAGTCTCGGGTGCGAATCCACATAACGCTGTCGTTTCATAGCATTTTTAAGTGCCACGTTTGCGCGATGCGCGGCGATATCGGCTCAACAACATTTTCGTGACGCTTGCATAGGTGCTACGCTGCTCATTCTGCTTGTAAATACGCCACTCGCGAAACGTCACGGAGCACTTTGTTTCGCTGAGTTTTCCGAACGTCATTCTCTTTCCGCGTCACAGCCGAATCCTGTTTGAGAAACACAAAACGAGTATGGAACACAAGGCCCCCGCCGTCGTGATTGAATGCGTCGCCACGAAAGTGCACGAATGTTTTTTGTTTAGAAAAGATCCTCTTTTGCCCGTCCGCTGCTCGCTCTCGCAAATAAAGCGCCGTTATGTCAATTTGCCGGAGGCGCTGCTCAGTGTCCTCTGAGATCAGGACTTTCCATCTAATATTTCCCTCTAATGAAATCAAACAGGGCCTGCTGCTACCACCCCCACTCCCACCATTCCCCCCCGCCACCAGCTGATCACAAAAGCTTTGGAGCAATGTCTGCCGCAATGCGACCTTGACATCTGAACTCCCTGCGCCCTCCTGTGTCTGTCGAGTGTAACTTGAACATGCATATATATGTAAATATACACGCGTCACTTACGTCACGAAGCTAGCGTAACTTTGACTTTGTTACAGCACATGACTCAATCTCAGGAAGCCCCGTATCCAAAGTCAGAGGTGCAACCTACTGAGCAAGTTAGCAACACAACATGTTGGTTCTTCTTATTGTCAGAGTGGAAGACATGTCATCGTGACATTGTTGTTGTGACTGAATAAGTGTTGCAAAAAAACTCAGAAGTTAATCCTTTGCTTGGCCCCCGTACTTTGAAACAGTAATTCATGCCTTCGTCACATCCCGGCTCGATTACTGTAATGCACTTTACTTTGGAGTCAGCCAATCCTCCATGAAGCGTCTCCAGTAGGTCCATAATATTGCTGCTCGCCTCTTGACTGGTACTCGTAAGAGGGAGCACATAACTCCTACTCGGCCCCACCTTACCACTCTGAGCCCGTCCGCCGCTACGCACCTGCCCGGCGGTTTTAGTTTTTCCTGTTTTTGTGCTTTCTACTGTCTTTGTTATTATTTTATTGTTTTGTTGTTTACTGTTGTATAATTTATTTTTGCTGCATGCACAGCACTTTATATAGAATGGCAGTTGTTTTAAAGTGCTCTATAAATACGGTTGAGTTGAAGGTTGCAACCTCAACTTCAGAGGTTCGCGTATACATGGCACTCTATCATGTACTTTGTGTATATATAAAATAAAATAAAAAAAGGGCCGGCCACAATATTTGACCTAGAATTGTATAATCACAGAAAAAAAAATGCTACAACTCTTGATTTTCATCCAAAATATGCATGAAGGGATGTGTTAGAAGACCAAAGCCAATAAAAAAATCCATTCCCAATAATCTCCTGCCAAAGGGAAGTGATTATGTGCAGCTGAAATGCAAAAAAGCCGAGTGTGTGATTAAAAAAAAAAAAAAAAAAAAAAAAACCAAACAGCATTTACAGGTATTAAATTTACTGTCAAGGCCACACATGGCTGTAATTTCTATGAAAAATAATGATGATACTTCATCCCCCCCCCTGCAACCTTTGTATTGGCAGCGAGCTGCTTCAATCTGCGCACAAAGTGAAGGCTTTCAGATCCTCGCGTGAATGCGACGTTATTGCCGCGCGCCATCCACACTTCACCTTCCGATGCTCATCTGCCGCCTAAATACTTTGGATTTCATGAATACGAATGGTTGCGCACAATGGGCGAGGATCTAGTCTATAGCCATCTGATGCCATGCCTATTACAGACAACCCACTTAGAAAAAAAAAATAAAGAAGATCCGAACCGGCAGCCGTCTGCTCGGTGTTTGGTAAGATCAAAGAAAGAATCAACTGCTGTGTGGATGTGCGCGTGTGGCGCACCAATAGATGCTCATCTCCAATCATGATTGGATATTCAGAGGTAAAAAAAAGTTCATTTGATAAATAAAAATCGAGCTTAATAGGTAAGGGATGCTGTTTTTTTTAATTTTTTTTTTAAGGACGTTGCTCAACTAAACTATTGTGCCAAAGACAAAAGGTAGGCAGAGCTGCAATGAATCGAAGCGCTGTATTCGCCAATCGAGCAGGATCTTAGGAGGCGTGTCAAGTCGCTCATTTACATGAGAAAGGACCGCCCTCGCACAACGGGGTCATTTTAGCCATACAAAAATAAAACGGGAGTTGGAGTATTTCAACAAAATATGGAAGTAAGGGATGTTCGATAATTTTTTTTTCAGACTCTGTGACTACTCACTGATAATAATTTTTTTTTATTTCTGACACAGATGATGATTCAGCGATACGTCCAACTGTCCCAGTATTGCGCCAACTACGACTGAGGAAGACGTCCTCAATGCTAGATTTTTTGGGGGTTTTATTTTTTTGTTGTTTTTGGTATTGGTGACTGGTATTGACAGCGGCCAAGAGTACCCGATACTTTAACCCTTTCGTGCACCCTGTAACCTGTCTAACCGTTGTCCCTCAAAGGGTTAAAACGGGTATCGGCCCTCCTGGTGTCGCCCATCCCCATGTGGATGCTATTAAAACATTTGGGAACTGTTCAAATTATTTTTAAAAATGCATATTAGGTGTTTGAGCTGGACGATTTGGAACAA